TCTCTCCCTCTCTCCCTCTCTCTCTCTCTCTCTCTCTCGATGCACAAAACTTCGCATTTGAACAGTCAATAGCAAATACTTAAACTAATAATAAAACAGTAGCGCTGATTCAGAAGCGCCAGATTGTCATAGCAAAGTCAGAATTACCTCCTCTCCTAGTTTCATGAAACGGTCGTCCATAAAATGCATTGCTGTTCTGTTGTAAGTGATCTTAAAGATTTCTAAATGCATCTACTTTCGGAAGGCCAAATAAAGTGCTTTTGCTTTCGCCTAGAAACACACAGCTTCTCCCTGACATGGCTGCATCAACACTAACTGCGGTTACTGAAACCACGCCTTCTTTCTTTGCATGCACATTTGGGCGCATTATGCAAATATTCACACATAGTGAGGTAGATATGTGAGGGCGTGTTAGAACGAGCCGTTTTAGGGGGGCGTGGCAGAGTCTTAACTTTGATAAAGAATATCTCTTTGGTTTTGAGACTTTAGTCTTTGCAACTTCAGGGATCTTATCTATTCACGAACAGCTTGTAACACTCCAAAGAGAAAGGAAAACTTGAAATCGCATCATATGACCCCTTTAAAGCACAGCCACCACAATATCAGGCTTTAGCACTTCTTTTTACTTTGAGATCGTTTTGAGGTTAAATACAGATTTAAAATCATAACAAGTTACAATTTAATAGCTATGATACTGTCTTTGAAATCAAATATTTGCATAGCTCTGAAACACTGGCATCTAACAAAGTCTAGGAAAAAACAGTTCATCTTAAAAAAAATAAAACCCAAACAGGAAATAAAAGAGTTACTGAATAAACATGTGTCCTGTTCTGTCCTAAACTCCTGTACTGTCTCATAATTTAGAGCAGTCCGTGCAATTTATGAAACAAATCGATTACATCTGTATGTTACAATTACATTTATTTTATAATTAAATTACGTAATTCCGTTACATGTAACTAGTTACTCCCCATCACTGGATATATCCATATCTTTTGAAGGGATTTTCAGGCAGCATCAAAATTCTAAAATGTTTCAGATGGAAATTGCCAACTGACATGGAAAACGCTGATTTTAAACATTCGCGTCAGAAAGATGATAAAAGTGCGCGTCCGTTTAAGCACCTTGGAGAACGCCACAGCTGCGATTCCGACAGAGCTCATTAATATTTAGAGCCATGTGAGGTTACGCTTGTCTTATTGAAGCGTCCAGTCACACGTGATTAAGATAATATTCATGAGCCAAACCTTCATTCGTCAGCTCTCTGCCGTGCAGCCAATCAGTAGGGCGTTCGCTCTTGTACGTAATTAATATTCAAAAAGTACACCTTTACCATAGTAGTATTCGTAATTTTGTTATGGAGCGGATTGTAATGGATGCTAAAGCCGTGCTTACTAATACAGTGAACGTGTTTTCAAAAACCAAGGTGTCTTACAGCATATCTGTGCTTGGGAATTGATCTGAACTCCGTCTGTAGACCGCAGCGAGTGTGAGCGGGATCATAACCGAGCTGATCTTCTCCAGCGGTGATTCTGAGCTGATCTGAGGTAATGTTAGGCCAGATGATGCTTAACATGTTTTTTAGGAATTAAAGATAAATCTGTCAAATCCTCCTTTCTGGGATGTTCTCGTTTGTAAAATCTATTTAAAAATCGGGTAAATAAAATATTTTTAGAATTGTAAAAATGCAGAAAGTTTTTTAGGGCTAAGGTGTGGGTTAGGTTGTAGTATTAATAGCTAGCTGTATATAAAACAATAGACGTCTGTGGAATGATAGCTAAGATAGCTAAATAAACGTATTTCTGTGTGTCATTTTTCAGTAAAATGTGAAAACTGACATGAATTTATGCAAACAAATCTATACCATTGTGTCTCCAGTTATTTTTTTTAAGTGAGTGACGTGACATGTGGCCAAGTATGGTGACCCATACTCAGAATTAGTGCTCTGCATTTATCCCATCCAAAGTGCACACACACAGCAGTGAACACACACACACTGTGAACACACACCCGGAGCAGTGGGCAGCCCGGAGCAGTGGGCAGCCATTTTTGCTGCAGCCAACTGCCAACAAGGTTCGGTGCCTTGCTCAAGGGCACCTCAGTCGTGGTATTGAAGGTGGGAGATAGCGCTGTACAGTCACTCCCCCCACCTACAATCCCTGCTGGTACGAGACTCAAACCCACAACCTTTGGGTTATGAGTCCGACTC